AATACGCCCCTGTCCCCCCGTGACCATGTCCAGCGAGTGCCGCCTCCTCTCTCGTGTCTTGCCCGTCACGCGCACAGGAGGCATGGCAGCAATTTGCTATCCGATGTGCGTGTTTCAGAATGGGTTGTGCTCGGTCGCTCCGAAAACATACTCCCGCTGCACCGGTGGCCGCATTTGAAGATCGGCATTGTGCTCCCGTCGTGTTCCGAGTGAAGCTCTCGCCCACGCGTGGGCCACACTTCAGGGTCCGATTAATTCCTCGTCGTTGCCGTCCCCCCTCCATTTCCCCTCCTCCGCCTGCCCCTGGTCCGCCTGGCCATTATGTTTGCCCTGCTCCTGCTCCTACTGATGCTGCTCCTCCTCCTCCTCCTCCTCCTCCTCCTCCTCCTCCTCCTCTCCTCCTCCTCCTCCTCCTCATCATCATCATCATCATCATCATCATCATCATCATCATCATCATCATCATCATCATCATCATCATCATCATCATCATCGTCATCATCATCAGCAGCATCGCCACCACCACCATCATCATCATCAGCAGCAGCATCGTCAGCAGCATCAGCATCAACAGCAACATCAGCATCAACATCATCAGCAGCAAGATCATCATCAGCAGCAGCATCAGAATCATCATCAGCAGCATCATCATCATCACCATCACGTCGTCGTCAGCATCAGCATCAGCATCATCATCACCATCATCATCAGCATCATCATCACAATCATCATCGTCGTCATCCTCATCATCCTCAGCATCAGCATCATCATCATCATCATCATCATCATCATCATCATCATCATCATCAGTATCAGCATCACCATCATCACCGTCATCATCACCGCATCACCATCATCATCATCGTAATCACCATCATCATCACAAAGACCAGCATCCTCACGATCCGCATCATCATCAACAGCAGCAGCATCATCACCATCATCATCACCATCATCATCAGCAGCATCATCATCACCACCATCACCATCACCATCAACAGCATCATCACCTGCACCATCATCATCATCACCATCATCATCATTAAGAACGTCACCCTAATCGGCATCATCATCCACATCACAATCAGCATTGCCATCATGCTGCTACTCGACTCTGCAAGTGCACTGCATATGTAGGAACGATGCTGCAGGGCGCAGCGAGCAGAGGGACATATAAGAAGCACTTGCATATCGAGCACTCCACAAGACGAAACAGAGAGGGGCACTTCTTGGGGACGGGGGCGGGAGCAAGTCTGAGCATGCATGTTACGGATCGCATGCGGATGGGGGGTTAGCTCAATACTGCGAGCGGCACGTCTGAATCCAAGAAAAAACTACTCTCTCGCAGCGCACAGCAACGATGCCACTGCATTCATCAGCGGTGCTGTGTCTAAGGGGCCTCTGAAGCAAGACGCAGCGGGCAGAAGGACATGTAAGAAGCAACTGCGAATCGGGAACTCCAGAATCATCACGAAGCACGGGTGTTGCGTAAGATCCCCGCGCGGCCATGGCTGACCGTAACGGGATCTTAGCCAGCGCACGGCACAATCGGCGTGTCCATGTGTTGCGCAATCTTGGTCCAGCTCGGCCCCCCGAGGACCACCTCGAGACTAAGATGGAGTTTTCCCGAGCGGCCGCAGGGCCCCCCTGCCGGCGCAGCGACGACGGAGCTTGATTAACGCCGAGAGATCGTCGCAGCCTCTCATCAACACTCTAGTCGGCTTGCGCCAATCAGCGCCGAACCGGCCAACAAATCTGCTTACTCTGAGCAATGCCGACAGGCTCATCATAGCAGGACTTCGGAACGTCAAGGAAGACAAAGGATTCTCAATAAACAACGGGGTCTGCGTTGCCTGCAAGTTTTCGCGACTCGAAAGGCAGCATATATTAATGAATCTCCGATAGCAATATTGGCACGCTCTTCGTCCGAGAACTCTCGACGCTTAGCGGGTGCTCGACAGACCGGCGCGGTTAGCTTCGGGCCTTAGCTTTGTCAAAGGCGGCACAAGGAGGGCCCATACAGACGGCCACACGGCGGCCAACCACGATCGCCAGCCAATCATCTGAGACATAAGTCGATCATCCAAAAGATCCCCATTCGGCCCTGGAGCCGCGTCGAAACCCCGAAGCGAAAGCCCTGGCAACTCAAAAGATCGACATGCTCGGCCACTGCCACTGAACAACAGATCCGATCCGCATCTCCCAGCTTTCATGCATTTCGCTCCTCCAGTAGGGGAACCAAAGGTGACATAAACATAAAAACTCGCAGGTCCGCGCGGATTTCTCGGATCGGCGCCGGGGCCCCCCAGCGGTGCCTCCAGCGCCGCCCCTGGCGCGCTCCGCGCGCCAGGGAGAGGGTCCAGCGCCGATCCGAGAAATCCGCGCGGACCTCCGAGTTTGTATGTTTATGTCACCTTTTGTTCCCCTACTGGAGGAACGAAACCCCGACAACGCAAAAGATCGACATAGACTCAGCCACTGCCACTGAACAGCAGATCTGATCCGCACATCCCAGCTTTCATTCACCTCGCTCCTCCGAGGCCCGCGGGCGGCAGCACGCTCCGCCCGTGGATCACTCTAGCCCCCAGCTGCCCCTCGAGCGCGGCCGCGCGAGCCGCCGGCGCCACGCCGCGCGGCCTGCCGCCGCGCCCGAGCCGCGCCGCCTCCTCGCAGCGCACCGCGCTCCGATCCTGGCCGCCCAGGCGCCCGACCTCGCGCGGGCCCCTCTCGGCGGCGGCCCCGTCGATCGGAGCGCCACGGCGCCGCGCCCGGTGAAACGCGAGCCCGCGGAGCCCCAGCGGCGCGGCCACCCCCCGCAGCGACATCCTTGTCCACGCGCCCCCGAACCCCCGCGCTGCCCCCGGGCGGGCCTCTCGGGTCGGCCCAGGCTGCTGACCCTCGGGCTCGCGCCGCCGACGGACTTCGCGCAGGCGCCCGGGTCTCGGCACCGTCGAAGCGACACGCCGGAGCACCCGCAGCCCCACTCTTGATCTCCACCAGGGCTCGGCCGATCCAGTCGCAGAGGAGGCGGCTGCCACTCAGCGCAGATAGGACGTAGCACGTAGTCGCCCGTCTTGGGCGCCTTTCCCGTCTTCCCAGGGCTGATCTTGAGGGATGCGAAAACGCCCCTACCCTGGGTTACAAGCGCGTGGTCCGCAAACCTCCTGGGAGCTCCCGAAGGCCAGAAGAGCCGCCAGGACGCCGCGCGACACGCGCGACATGCAGGGTTCACCCTGTCAGCCCACATGAGGTTCAGCGCACAGCGCCTCGCAAACCAGGGCAGGGGCGTTTTGAACGCCCTCGATAATCAGAAGGGACCAGCACCAACTCGCGCCCCGCCTCGGCTCCACGATATGACATGCTCGGGAGCGACGGCCAGCAGCTGCCCCGGCCGGAGGCAGGTCGACACACCGACCGCCACGAACAGCGCCATCCGTCGACGGCCCTCCCTCACGAAGCCGCTGGCCAACGCGTGCCGCATCATCCCGGCGCGGCGCCGCTCGGGGACGCCGCGCCGCCGCTGCCGGGAAGCGCCGCGGGCGCGGGGGGCGCGGCGCCGCCGGCGAGCAGGCGTGGGGAGAGCGGTTCCCGGAGACACCCTCGACGGGGAGCTTTTCGCTCTTTTCCGGCCTCTGGGGGCGGTTCTGGCCGCCGCGATCTCGCAGTGCGCAAATTCCGCGAGCCCTGAAGGGCGCGCCAAGACCGCGGCAGTCGGCCATCGCCATGTCGCCCGTGGCGCGGCAGCCGACGCACCAGCGCGGCCACCACCTCCACCCCCTCGCCCAGCTGCCCCCCCCCCCGAAGAACAGCGCCCACAGTCCTTCGCGAGCACGCCGTCGAGGCCGGGGCCGCCGACGAAGAGGGTCGGATCGACGGCCGCCCCGCTCAGCTCCATGAACCGCGCCAGCTCCTTCTGGCAGTCGGCCGCCGCCCGCCTCAAGCAGCGCCTGGCCGAGGGCGTTCGCCTCGTCGGCCTCGCCCAGGCAACGGCGCAGCCGCCGGCGCGAGCGCTCCTCCTGTACCCCGCGGACCCCCCCCATTCACATCCGAATTCAAGCGGCGCGTGAGAAGACAGGACGGAGATGGAAGCGAATCATCGATGCGGCTCGGCTCGTCCAAATTGTTGTTCCTGGGGGGCCCAGCGCGCCGCCGCCGCGGCAAGACAGTAAGCAGCGAACGCGCCTACCTGGCTGGGCAATCTGAAATCACCACTCCTGAAGCAATCGAGAGTCGAACAAACGCCCGCGCTGTCGACCAGAAGGGCCCGTCCGACGTCTCCCCCGAACACGGCGGGCGCCACGCGCCGCAGTACCACGACAAGAATACGCGCCTCGAGTCGGCCTCGGGGACGCCGCTCGACACGGCGCCCCCGCGGCCGTCGACGTCGAACCCTTCATCCTCGGCCCCTCCTCGGGCGCGGCCCCCCTGGCGAGCTCAGCCAAGCCCGCCGCGCACAGCGCGGGCCGCCTCGCCCGCGCGGCGCGGCAGTTCCGGAAGCGGCCCCCCCCGTCGCCTGCCAGCGGCGACCACATCGTCGCGGCCCCATGCCGACGCCGAGATGCCGCGGCCGTCGAGCGAGGCGTCGCGGGGGGTCGCGAGCCCGTTCACTGGAAGCCACCAGGCGTCGGCGAGGGGCAAGGAACGGCATCCGGCCGAGGTGGACCGCGAGCTCCTCGAGCACGCCCAGCCAGAGGGGGCTGTGGCGGTCGCGGCGCTTCTGTATGAACTAATACGCGACGCGGAAGCAGCCTGGCACTGGCCGCTGCACCATTGCGCAGAACGCGCAGTGGCAGACGATCAATCCCATCATCTCTCCGTTCGCGCGGCATCGCGCCAACAGGCGTCGCAGCGCTCCGCAAAGACGCCAGCACCTCCGCCGCGTCAGCACCGCCCGCCGCCCCCTGCCGTCGAGCTCCACTCAATGGACCCCGGCACCATGAGCCAGAACCTCCTCGCCGCGGACCACCAGACCGAAGGGGTCGAAAGTCTCGACGACCCGCCGAAGCACGTCGGCCAAGGCCGCGGAGGCCTCGCCCATCATGCCGAGGTTGCCCACGAGCACGCAGTGCCTGACACGCCAGTGGCCGCTCCGCAGGCAGAGGACCACCACGGCCCCTCGGCCCCGAACGACAGCGCCTCGCCGACTGTCTGGCCGACGCACGGGCCCCGGGCGAACCCCACCGGGAGAGCCCGCGCCAGCGGCGCCACCAGATCGCCCTTCTCCACGACGCGCCCGTCGATCTCCTGCCCGACGAGCCCGAGCCCCTCGGCGGAGGTGGCCGGCAGCCCGAGCCACCGCGACGCGCATCTCGGCGCGAGAAGCGCGTGGCAGGCGCCCACGGCGCGAGCGATTCCAGCGCGGCTCTCGAGCGGCCCGACGTCCCTCCGCAGCCGCCAGCCCGGCGCGGAGCGGCCGCCAGAGAACCAGCTTCGAACGACGACATGCCAACATCACCATTGCCTTTCCACGCCCCTTCCCCGAGGCAAAAAATCCCAGCGGCCTCGCGGGCCCAAGTCCTGGGCCGCGCGAGGCGCCGACCACTCCGCACCGCAACAAAATTCACGCAGCGCCTCCGGCCGCGCACGATGGCCGGGTCGCTGCGCGCGACGGCCTTCGCGTCGCGGAGCAGCTGCCCGGCCTCGCCTCTGTCGCGCTTCATGCGCCAGCCCCCCCCCCCTCCGCGCAGCGCGTGCGCAAGCCCCGCCGCCCAGGTCCGCGAACGGCCTTGCATCCTGGACCGAGTCGGGCAGCAAGACCGCCTCCTGCCTGTAGGCAGCCAGAGATCTGCTGGCGGGGTCGCCTCGCGCAAAATGCGGAGGCACTGCAGAGGGCCCCGAACGGGCGCGCCCTCCGGCGCCGGCTGCATCGAGGAGGACTATTTTTGGTGCTCCCCCGATCAAAAAAAAAACCTTGGGCTCCGCCACGCTGGCTTTCCCCAGCCATCCTGTGGTGCTGGGTCATCGTTTTGAAGAGGCGGTGCCCCGCGTCCTCCTCCATTCCTCTCCTCCTCCTCCGCCTCCTCCTCCTCCTCCTCGTCCTCCTCCTCCCGCGCCTCCCTCCTCCCGTCACCCCTATGACTTTGTCACGCCCCTCGCACGCTTCGTGGCCCTATTGGGAGCTCCACCGAAGGCCCCGGAGGCATGATTCGCATGCCGCCCCCCTCCACTTTGGAACACCCCTCGCACGCTTCGTGGCCCCATAGAGAGCCCCACCGAAGGCCCCAGTGGCATGATTCGCATGCCGCCCCCCCCTCCACTTTGGCACACCCCTCGCACGCTTCGTGGCCCCATCGGGAGCTCCACCGAAGGCCCCAGTGGCATGATTCGCATGCCGCCCCCCCCTCCACTTTGGCACACCCCTCCCACGTCTCGTGGCCCCGTAGGGATCTCCACCGCAGGCCCCAGTGGCATGATGACTTTGGCACACCCTTGCCCGCCGCTCGGCGGAGCAGGAGGAGCCGCCGCGCGCAACTGGCCGGAACTGGCGGCACGGGGGCGCGGCCGTCAGGGACGGCAGCCCCGTGCTTCGGGGACGCCGTCGCGGAGGAATGGCTTCTGCGTGGCGCCCGCGGGCGGCCAATCCGGTGTTCACGCCGACCGTCGGCACTCATATGGTCCTCATCTGGGGGCCGCCCGCTGGACGGGTGCGTCGTCTCCCAGGGCGTAGCCGGGCGGGCGTGTGGGAGGCGACAAGTTGGCCCAGCCGTGGGCGGCTTCGTCGTCTCCCGGGGCGTGCCCCTACGGGAGGGCGTGTGGGAGGCGGCGCGGTCGTCCACCTGCCGAGCACTGTGTAGGCTTCAGACGGCGTTTCAAGGCTGCCTATCCAGCCACTCCTGATTATCATCCCTCCTCCTTCTCCTCCCTCCTCCTCCTCCTCCTCCTCCTCCTCCTCCTCCTCCTCCCTCCTCCTCCTCCTCCTCCTCCTCCTCCTCCTCCTCCTCCTCCTCCTCCTCGCCTCCTCCTCCTCCTCCATCTCCTCCTTCTCCTCTTCTTCATCATCCTCCTTCTCCTTATCATTTTCCTTTTCCTTATGTTTCTCTCCTTCTCCTTTTCCTTATCCTTCTCCTTCTCCCTCCTTCCCTCCTCCCTCCTCCTGATTATTATTTTCCTCCTCCTCCTCCTCCTCCTCCTCCTCCTCCCTCCTCCTCCTCCTCTCCTCCTCCTCCTCCTCCTCCTGCTCCCTCTCCTCCTCCTCCTCCTCCTCCTCCTCCTCCTCCTCCTCCTCTCCTCCTCCTCCTCCTCCTCCTCCTCCTCCTCCTCCTCCTCCTCCTCCTCCTCCTCCTCCTCCTCCTCCCCCTGCTCCTCCTCCTCCTCCTACGACGACGACGACGGTGACAACGGCGGCCCTCGGCGATGTTCGTTGTCCGCTGTAGCCGGTCGTCGCCGCCGGAGGGGGAGGGAGGGAGAAAGGGAGGGAGGGAGGGGGAGGGAGGGAGGAAAGGGAGGGACAGGAGGGATGGGGAGGGAAGGAAGGGAAAGACGGGAAGGGAGGGTAGGAGAGGCGGGAGGGGAGGGAAGGGACGGGTAGGGGAGGAGGCGGAAGGTTGTCGCCGCCGCCCGCCGCGCGGCGCCATTGGCCGCCGCCGACCGCCGTCCGGGCCACGGGCGCGCCTGCGGAGGGCGACCGCGCGGCCAAGCCGCCCGCGGCCGCGCCGCTGGCGGCGGACCGCGGCAGCGGCGGCAGCGGCGGGCCGCCGCCCGCGGCAACGGCGCCGTGCGCGGTCGCGCCTGGCGTCGGGGGGCTGGCTTCGGGTTTCTCCGGTGCGCGGCAGCGGGTTCCCCTGGCGCGCGCGAGGCGGCGAGGCCTGCACAGCTGGCTGGTCTGAGCCAAGCGCCGTATCCAGCGAGGGGGGCCAGCTTCGGGCCCGCTCTGAGGAAGACCTTCGGGTGCGCCGCCGAGGGCGGCAACTTTGCATTCGGGCCCCCGACGAAAAAGCGAGTCCACAGACTCGATACAACGACATGGTGTGTGTGTGTTCGCGGTTGGCGTGTCTTCTTGAACTGGCTGGTGGGCTGGCTGCTTTCAAAGATCACGTCGTTTCCTCTTTCTGGCGAGCTGATATTCCAAGCAGCATCTTCTGCCGCACGAGCGAGTGCCTCACGCCGACGCGCAGGAGATCTCACGCATCCACCCCTCCCCCCTTCACCCTCCTCCCCGCCCCTCCTCCACCTCCCCCTCCTTCTCCCCCCACCGGGGCCCCCACCCCCCGTTTGACTCCGTTTGACCCCTCTGCAGGTGCATCCTCGACAAGACCGCCCTGCACCGACTCGTGCTTTTGTCGGCCGCAACGGCGGGAACCCCAGCCGCCTTCTGGGGCAGACGTGGGGTGCACGCGGCCGACTGTGGGGCATGGCGGGCGGCGCGGGGAGAAGGAAACGCGCGGGGAGAAGGGAGAGAGCACGCTCAGCACATGCAGCCTGCCAGCGCGGGCGCAGGAAAGCGTGCACAGAGGGAAGAAGGTGGAAGCCCTGCAGACCCGGTCTGCTGGCCAGCGGCCGCAAGAGAGAGCGAGAGAGAGAGAGAGAGAGCCAGGCAGCGGTCGGGCAGCGGCGGGGCGCGCCGAAGCACAGCGAGGGCCACGGGGAGAGGCGAGGCACGCCGAGGCGCGAGGCGGCCGGAGAGGCCGGGAGGCGAGGGAACCACACCCCGGGCCGGTGCTGCAGAAGCAGCAGGGATCGGGAGCGGCCAAGAGGGGGGTGTCCAAGAGGGGGGGGGTGCAAATCATGACCGGCGGCATGTGCGCGGCCCAGCGGGGGGGCCGGGGACGTAATGAAATGAGAAGAGGCGCCATGAAATCAGGGGAAATATCATGGCCCCCGCCATGATATCCCCCCCCCCTAGTCATCACCCCCCTCTTTTCCGCCCCCGAAGAGAAGCAGTCCTGGGCCAGCGGGCAGCTCGCCAGAAGCGGCCCAGGCCCCCGAGGCCGAGGAGGCAGAGGCGGGGCTCTCCCGGGCAAGGGACGCCGCGGGCGCCCCGTCTCGGGCGGCCCTCCAGGGGGCGCCTCGGCCTGGACTCGTCGGCAGAGCTCGGCCGGGGCGACGACTCCCGAGGCGGACCCGAGGCTTCCCACGGCCCCCCGCCCGCCGCCGGGGAGCCCTCCCAGGACCCGGGGCCGTCAAGAAAAATCGCAGAATGAGAAGCTGGTCCCGGGGAATGGGTCGAGACCTCCAGGACTCGACGTTGTGAAACAAAGCATGACGTCGGGGGTCTGGGTTTCCAGTGGGCACCGAGAATGCCCCAGTGGATCCCCAAAGAAAAGACCCAGGTAGGCCTCCGAGAGGACGTGGAACGTTGCGGCCGCGCCGCGCTACGGCATCGTAGCCAGGATGGTCCTACCGAGCCTGTCGCGAGAGATCGGTACAGCCGTCCTGCACGCATTGCAGCGCTGCGCGGGCACCAGTGGCGGGGCTTGCCGCAGCCAGCTGGACATGCTCGCACAAGAGTATATCTCAACGTTGACCTCGTGAGCCGTGGACGGTCCAGCTCCCGCCCCGCCCCCAACCCCAAGCCCCCACGACGCCCACCAAAGAAACGCCAGTGGGTACACAAGAGAAGGCGAGCGAGAGGACAAGGAGCGGGGCTTTCTCTTGATCAAAGAACCAAGCACCCTCAAACCTATAGGGAGGAGGAATGCGGCAGGGCCAGGCGATAAAAGCGCTGTAGGTGTGGGTGCGGGTTGTCGGACCCCGAAGTGGGCTCCCGCTCGAACGGGGACCCCCACCCGACAACACACCCCATACATAGATAGATAGATAGACAGACAGGCAGAAAGATAGATAGATAGATAGATAGATAGATAGATAGATAGATAGATAGATAGATAGATAGATAGATAGATAGATAGATAGATAGATAGATATATAGATGTATATATGTATAGATAGATAGATAGATAGATAGATAGATAGATAGATAGATAGATAGATAGATAGATAGATATGTAGATAGATAGATAGATAGATAGATAGATAGATAGATAGATAGATAGATAGATAGATAGATATATCGATAGATAGATAGATATATATAGAGAGAGAGATAGATAGATATATACATATATATAGAGCTAGATAGATCGATAGATATATGGATATATATATACAGATATATAGATGGATAGATATATAGATATATGGATAGATGGATATATATATATATAGATAGATAGACAGGCAGACAGATAGATAGATAGGTAGGTAGGTAGATAGCTAGATAGACATAGGTATATATATAAAATATATATACATATATAGATAGATAGATAGATAGATACATACATACATATAGACATGTAAGATAGATAGATAGATCTATAGATATATATATATATATATATGTAGAGATAGATAGATAGATAGATAGATAGATAGATAGATAGA